CCCCCAAAGTCAGAGGAGCTACTGCTTTGGATGCAGGAAAAGGGCTGTAGCCAAGGCAAGGGCAAAGGGGGCTCAGGTCCACCTCTAGTTAGGAAACTACAGTGGAAATACCAGCCCACGTGCTCTCCACACCAGGCTTCCTCACCCCTCTTATACTATCCAACTGCCCCCAAAAGGCAGTTTCACTATCACATGACCCTCTCTTCAAAGCAGTTTCCATTAGATTAACCCTGATCCTAGAAGATATACTCACTAGCCCAAATTAATCCAACCACACTCCCCCTCAAACATGTGTACCTAACAGTCACAAAGACTGTGGTCAGCTAATTGTGGCTTTTGAACCAGATGATGTTGAGCCAGGGCTGGAAGAGTTGTTTCCAGGCATGAACATATGAACAAACAGCCAGGGAAATCCGGTTTACTTAGTGAAGCAGAATAACCCAAGTGGGCAAAAGACATGGGGAGGAGGGTTACAAGTTAAGGTACAATGACAACTGGACCATGCCACAAAGAAAAGGAGCACAGGGTCCTGAGAGGGAACAATGGGCACCTGTGACCTGTTTTGGGGGTCTGGAAAGGTTTCCACAAGCAAGTGAGACCTGGAGGCAGAGTGGGATCTAACTAGGCAGCCATGGGAGAGGCTGATTCAGGCAGGGAGGAGGGCACAGGCAAAGGCCCTGTGCAGCCCCAAATACAGCCAGCTAGGCTAGAGGGGTACACATGCAGCATTGCACACACAGCTTCAGGGCATCTTCAGATTGCTAGAAACCCATCCTGGACCCAAGTTTAGGACCCCTGTCATCATGCGGCCCTTCCTCCCAGGAAGTGTCTTGGGCTGGCTTTTGTCTGGGGCTGCTGGCCCTGTGCCTCCCTCTCCCTTCCCCACAGCCCTGTCCCCACCGCTTCCACATCTCCCATGTGTCTCCTTCACGACTGCATACAGGACTATGTGTTCCAGAGGAACATGTGGTCTGCTCCCTTATTAATCTTGCTGTATCTTATTAAAATGGCCTCATGCCCGCCTGGTATTATTCTGCACAGAGCAGCGGGGTTCATGCAGCAAGCTGCAGCTAGGAGAGCTGTATTTCATTTCTTTTGTGTTGAAGGAATGACCTAGATGCTGCTCTGCACAACAGACTCATACTTGCAGGCTTTAACTCATTCTTTCCCATCCAGCCTGGTGCTCAGATAGAAGCAGAGGTTTGGACTCCCACCAGGGTGGTGTCAGTTGAGCTGACAAGTAGGCTGAGTTAGACCTATGTGGGAAAGAACAGTTTGAGACCCTTCAGAGCTGCTCCTGAAGACAAAGGCAATGCTCCCTGACAGGTGGGCAGGTGTTTGGACAGCAGAGGAAACTTCTCTGGGAATTCTTATTCATGCAAACTCATATATAAGACATGAGTGAAAGGAAAAGGTGAGTGACTTTGTGGCTTCCTCCATCTGTCTACCTCTTCCCTTGGTTGGTTTCTGTCCCAGGCTGTCATATTCATTCATTCACTGTGCTGTTGTCTATTCAATGTCTACTCTACACATGGCTTTGCAAGGGACCCAAAAATAATGACAGGGCTAAGAGATCCTCCTGAGGAGAACATATATAAGCAAAACCCCAACAGGCAATATCCATACAGGGGTGGAGAAGTGCCAGAGAGACCGGTTGTTGCCCCCAGATTGACCTGGGTGTGCCACTTACTCATTGGGAACTTATGTAAGCTTCCCAAAGTCGTGAACTGGAACTAGGACCACTGTCTTAGCTCAGGTTTCCGTAACAAAATAATCAGAGTGGGTGGTCTAAACAACAGGAATTTACTTCTCACAGATCTGGAGGCTGCAAATCTGAGATCAAGGTGCTGGCCAATTAAGTTCCCTGGTGAGGGCACTCTTCCTGGCTTGCAGATGGCTGCCTCCTTGCTGTACCCTCGTATGACTGAGAGAAAGAGGAAGCAAGGTCTCTGATGTCTCTGCTTATAAGGACACTAATCCCATCATGAAGTCCACACCCCCATGACCTAATCTAAACCTAAACATCTCCCAAAGGCCCCATCTCCAAATATCATCACACTGGGGGTGACAGCTTCAACAAAGGAACTTCGGAGGGACACAATTCTATCCATAGCAACCACCAACCCCACAGGATGAGTGCAGTGATTTACTGGGATCCCACAGGTACACCTCCTTATAAGAATAAGCCCAGCTGGCCCGCTTATTCTGGTAGCGAGTGATGCAAGGATGGTGCCTAGGGTGAATGGTAGGTAGAATTCGTCTCCTAGGACCTAGCCTGCCTCTCAGCACACTCAGGACCAACCGATTCTGCACCCCTCTCACCCACTGCCTACCTCTGCCAGCCAGAGCATAACTGAGAATTGAACTTTTTCCCTCCAGGGGTATAAAAGGAAACTGAAAACAGAGATGTGATTAAATGCTGAGCTGGTCATCATGCCACGATCAGACAGTCACACGCCGACCAAGTCCACTGATTTTCCACCTCTTAATCACGTCCCTGCCAGATTTAAAATGCAATGAACATCAATGAGAACAAATGCTAATAAGGCTCTAACAGGCGTTGGATGTCAAGAGGTGAGGAATAAACCTTGCATATTTTGACTGAAAGGGGGTCAAAGAGGAAATAACTGGGATACTAAATAGAATTCTTCTATTCAAGAGAAAGGCTCCCTGAAAGGCAGCTGCTCCAATGAGTGACACTCGCTCATTAAAGAATGCATCATTCAATGTCCCGCGGCAACAGAAACACCCAACCCAGTGACATGTATCTTTCCTGGAATTTAGCTAACATGGTAAAGTCACCAGTGAATTTACATCAGGCCTAAGTGAAAAAGAAGCTCCTTTTCTGACACATGCAGTCATTAGAGTTTTAGCTGTACTGAGATTGCTCCAAGAAAACACTGTGTCTTTGGAAATGTTATATCACATACCTCCTTTAAGCAGCGTTGGCAAAGTTAATGCATTTGTCAAGCATCTCTGCCTCTCCAGGGTCTTGGGAAAGCCTCTCAGGTGGATGGGCCTCAGGTCCATGAATGCATCCTACAAAATCTGCCTGGCTGACACAAAGGGACAGCCTGAGACCAGGGCTGTGCTGTTCTCACTGCTGGTCACAGTACCTGGCCACACCTGCCCATGGCCACCATGTACTCCACTCTGGTTCCAGAACCCAGTTCAACCCTGGCCTGAGGACTCAGCCATTTTCTGGGCTTATGCCTTCAGGCTTATGCCCTCTCCAGTGTCTCAGACATTCTGAAATACCCACTGTGCTGCATAAGGTTTCCTGATTAAAAGACTTGCTTTTTGAGTTCCAAGGAGGCAGAATGAATAGTGCCACAACTTGAGAATCAGACCGACCTAGATTCAAGTCCCAGCTCCCTCACGTCCTGGCTGCAAGATGTTACTTATGCTAAGTTCTGCTTCTCTCCACTTAAACTGGTGGGGCCAGCGCTTGCCTTGGAGGGCTACTGTGAGCATTAAATAAAGAAATACATGGCAAGCACTTAGCGTAGTGCTAGGCATATGGTAAGCCCTTCCCAAAGGTTAGCTATTTATAACTGGCTTCATGAAAACCTGATTTTTCACTCCATTGCAAGAGCCAAAGTAGCTTGGTAAATAAATAAGCCTCTGGGGATTCTACAAAGCATTTTGCAGTGAGCAGCCATCCCTTTAGGTAACAGGATTTACCATGAACTATATACACAGCCTTCCATTACCAATATAAAAGAGGAGCCAAGGGGATAAGGATTACTTATAACACCAGAGAGCCCCAAATCATAAACAACCTCTTAAGAGGTTGATAAGTTTACCTCAAACCACAATCCAGAAGTCTCCACATCCAAACTTTCTCCTCTTAGCTTAGGTTTCCACCCTGGATGATAAGATGATGACGATAACGTCAACAATGATTGTCTAAGGCTTTGTAAATACTTACTATATGCTGAGTACCAAATTAAACACCATTCATCTATTCACCCATTTAACCCTCACAGCAACCCATGAAGAAGGAAGAGGCTGTTACTATCCTCAGGTGAGATCAGCACTATCTAATAGAAATATAACGTCAACCACAATGTGAACCACATATATAATTTGAATTTCTGGCAGTCACACTACAAAGCAAAAACAGGGAACATTAATTCTAATATTTTATTTAACCCAAAGTATTTTTTCAACATGCCATCCATATTTTAAAATATTAATGATCTTTCATCCTAAGGCATTGAAATCTTGGTGTTTTACACTCCCAGCGCATCCCACTGTGGGCTAGCCCAGTTTCAGCTGCTGAGTAGCCACACGAGCCTGGTGGTTACTGTACTGGACTGTGTACGTCTCAAGAATGATAAAACAACAGGAAGAAACTTCGTCAGTTCCTCCCGTGGACCCAGACAGTCCGTGTCCGCAGCCAAACTCCTAACTACTGTGCTCTTCAGTGTCTCATTTGCTGAATCCACTGAACCCCACATTCTGCCAACTAATACCCTCCCTGAGCAATAGAAGCTTGATCTTTCCTTATAAGGATTGGATGCAAACCCCTTCCTGCATGCTGAGGGAAAGTATAAGGAGACACCTACACTGTAACTTTTAAAGAAAATATCTTGGCAAGGCACCATCACTAAAACTTGCTAAAAACGACCCCAGGGTAAGAAACGGCTAAGAGGAGACAAGCACTTTTTCAACCCAACTGACATCAGAGGGTAATTCTAAAACTGTCACACACAAAAAAGGGTCCAACACTGTGTCAGAAATTCCAAGAAAGGGTAAAGAGCGTGTTACAGAGATTAGATACAATTTGGTAAGAATTCCAAAGTAAAATACCAGAAAATGACAACGCTAAGCACAGAACAATATGGAATAGAAGGAGATAATACATACTTAAGTGGGAATGGGTACACACACACTTAAATGGAGATAAAGAAAGGATAAGCACCAAGCAAAAAAAGGCCTGGAGGTGAGCAGCCACTCTCTGCCTGCATCTCATAAATCTTCAGTTCTTCTGCCTGCATCTCATAAATCTTCAGTTCTTCCTCCAAGGATGTAGAAATGATGGCGGAGAGGAACTCTTTGCAGCTACAGTTTGTGGTATGATGACATTGCTATGGTTTGAATATGTCCACCCTCATGAATGGATTAATGCCAATTCTAAAAAGGCTTGAGGCTGTGAGTTCCCTCTCTTGTTCTGTGTATGCTCTCTTGCCCTTCCACCTTCCACCATGTGATGATGCAGCAGGACGGACCTTACCACATTTAGACCCCCAGATCTTGGACTTCCCAATCTTCAGAACTTTGAGCCATATAGGCTTCTATTCATTGTAAATTACCCAGTCTCAAGTATTCTGTCATAGCAGCACAAAACACACTAAGACAGGCCTAATGGTAATTACCTGCTGCCAACTGTACTGTGAGTAAAAGTGCATTTAAAAATCAAATGGCAGCACTTGGCTTCAAAGCTGGCTCTTGGAAGTTGAGCAGAGAGCGACGTGGTTGTGGTAGCTGCCTCTGTGGCCACCGCGGGATAATAAGCCAGAATCTGCTATACCTATTGACTAACTATGGAAGATTATACCAAAATAGAGAAAACTGGAGAAGGTACCTATGGAGTTATGTATAAGGGTAGACACAAAACTACAGGTCAAGTGGTAGCCATGAAAAAAATCAGACTAGAAAGTGAAGAGGAAGGGGTTCCTAGTACTGCAATTTGGGAAATTTCTCTATTAAAAGAACTTCGTCATCCAAATATAGTCAGTCTTCAGGAAATGCTTATGCAGGATTCCAGGTTATATCTCATCTTCGAGTTTCTTTCCATAGATCTGAAGAAATACTTGGATTCTATCCCTCCTGGTCAGTACATGGATTCTTCACTCGTTAAGAGTTATTTATACCAAATCCTACAGGGGATTGTGTTTTGTCACTCTAGAAGAGTTCTTCACAGAGACTTAAAACCTCAAAATCTCTTGACTGATGACAAAGGAACAATTAAACTGGCTGATTTGGGCCTTGCCAGAGCTTTCAGAATACCTATTAGAGTATATACACATGAGGTAGTAACACTCTGGTACAGATCTCCAGAAGTATTGCTGGGGTCAGCTCGTTACTCAACTCTAGTTGACATTTGGAGGATACGCACCATATTTGCTGAACTAGCAACTAAAAAACCACTTTTCCATGGGGATTCAGAAATTGATCAACTCTTCAGGTTTTTCAGAGCTTTGGGCACTCCCAACAATGAAGTGTGGCCAAAAGTGGAATCTTTACAGGACTATAAGAATACATTTCCCAAATGGAAACCAGGAAGCCTAGCATCCCACGTCAAAAACTTGGATGAAAATGGCTTGGATTTGCTCTCGAAAATGTTAATCTATGATCCAGCCAAACGAATTTCTGGCAAAATGGCACTGAATCATCCATATTTTAATGACGTGGACAATCAGATTAAGAAGATGTAGCTTTCTGACAAAAAGTTTCCACATGTTATAACAACAGATAGTTGTGTTTTTATTGTTAACTCTTGTCTATTTTTGTCTTATATATATTTGTTTGTTATCAAAATTAAGCTGTACTTCTTCTAATTTCAAAAGTATAACTTAAAAATGTAAATATTCTATATGAATTTAAATATAATTCTGTATATGTGTGTAGATCTCAATGTAACAACTATTTGCTACTATAATAAAACTATAATATTGATGTCAGGAAAAAAAAAAATCAAATGGCTTGAAAAGTCTCCCTAAGATTAACATGATCAACAGGCAGTTTCCTACTGGGAATACCTAGAGTTTAAAAAGAAAGGGCATGAAAATCCCCAAGTATGAACGGTCATTGCCCTAAGCACAGGACTGATCTAAGACCTCTGTCAGACAATGGTGGATTTCATCTCCTGCCCCATCAATTCCCCTGCAGTATCCCTGTAGAAGGATCCAGGACAGGAATATCTGCCCAGTGCCTGCAGAATCCTGATGAAGGGCCAAGATGGAAGCCCATCGCCAAGTCCTCTGCCCTGTCAGACTGTCTGGGGGCAGCAAAGACCTGGACCCATGCAGGTGAGGGTCCTGAACGACCCCACCTGGACGTCAGGTGGCACGTCCCATGTGTACTCTGCAGCATGCTGGTCTCATTATCACAGGTACATACAAACACTGAACTCAAGGTAAAATCCCTCTCTCTCATCCCAACCTTTCAGGAGGGGTCTGCCCTCCAACTCTTGTACAGGAGGACAGTTACCAGCAGGAGCTCAGAATCAAACAGACCTGGCTCGGCCTCTTACTAGCAGTGTGATGTTGGGTGAGTCATTTAACTGGTCTGAGCCCCTAAATTCTTCTTCTTTAATAGAAAGAATTATTCATTCATTTTTACACATATTTATTGAGCCCACACTGTTTTAGCTTCTGGGGATACAACAGTTAAGAAAAGAAAAAGAAATCTCTCCCTCATGGAATTTAATTCTAGTTAAAATGGGGAGGTGCCTGGTGGGCAGATCAACACATGTAACTGTACCTATCTCATAGGGCTGTCAGGAAGATTAAATAACACATCTAATGGAGATTGCATGCACTAAATAATTGTCGTCTATTGTTATTACAAGCAGTAATAGTAGTAATATCTAATCCTTCCAGCAACACATGGGCCTGGGCCTGACTCCAAAAGACCAATTTGGCTGGAAACCAGGGTAGAATAAAAGCCTAAAAGGGGCTCCATTCTTCACATCCTAACCTCTTTCTGGATTCACGCCACAAGGACATCCTGTCACAAAGATGAAGCCCCAGGCAGTCTTTATTTAGCAGACTCAATAGTCCCACCAAGCCCAGGTACATAGTGAAAAATGGGTCTGAGAAGTAGGGCTCTGGGGGGTCCAGTTCCACTCATCAGGAGAGTGCCAGCCTTCTGCCAGTCTCATGATGAGCGATGCACCTGCTGCCCACGGGTTCCTGCCCTAGCAGGGAGGAGGGCCTCAGAGGCATTCCAACACGCTGTGGCATGTCACATCTTCACGGACTGGAGGGACAGTGAAGGCTGTGATTCTGCTACTGCCATGAATCCATGGCTTTCTTATGGTGCCCCAGGGAGTGCTAGGACTCTGCAGAAAATGACACTGACTACAGTGATGACAGCAGCACTCACCACACCATTTATGACACCCTTGATGAGTGGAACACAGCATGCAGTGCTTTCCTTGCACTGCTTTCCTTAATGTTTTCTTTGAGGATTATTAAAAGAAAAAAAAAAAAAACTCCATCTCACAGATAAGGAAAGTGAGGTTAAGTAATTTGTTCAAGAATGTACAGCAAAGAGAAACTAGGCAGGCAGCCCAACTCCAGAAGCCAGGTCTGAACCAACAAGCTAAACTGCTTCGCCTAAGGGCCATCGTATGGGAATAAGAAAAAGCAGAGAGGCTAGGGGCTCCAAGCCACCCTCCCCCATCTCAGTTGCAGCAGTTCACATTTTATCTGTTTTCTATGAATGGACTCTACATGACATTTCCTTTGGAAAAAAAGAAAGATCCACTGCTAATTTTTTTAAAATCACTGGAATAAATGACGGCCAACATCAAAAGATGGTTTTTGATAAGCCAAGCTTTAAAAAATGTCAAGAAGTAAAATGTCCAATCAACAGTAGAACAGATAAATTGTGGTAATAAATTCACAAAAAGGAATAAAACACAGCAATGACAAACAACTACTTCTAGACACAACAGCATGGTAATCCCACAGACATAATGAATGAAAGAAGGCAGATACAGAAGAATATATTCTGGATGAATTCATTTTATATCAAATTCAAAAACAGGCAAAACGAACAGTTGGTGGTAAGTTAGAACTGTCATTACCCTTGGGAAGGGAGCACTGTATGGGAAGGGCACTAGAGGGCCTTTGGAAGTGCTGGAAGTGCTTTATATCTTCATCTGGATAAGGTGATAAGGTTACAAAGGAGTATTTAGAGGTAAACATTTACTGAGATGTACACTTAAGATCTGTGTACTTTTTCTGTACATGTATTATACCTCGATAGAAATGTAAAATAAAAACTCAAAAATATCTCAGTAAATTATGTAATCCAGGATTCCACTGTTAGGTAAGAATGAGGCCAGACATTTAAGAAAGAGAGCAATTGTGTCTCCTTATTATAAAAAACTAAAAATAAGAATTTTTTAAATTCCAAAACAGAAATTCAGCATCGACAATAGAACACTTGAGCAATGGAACCAGCTAACAGGAGCTTTGTGCTCCAAGTCTGCACAGGCTACGCATGACCTCCAGCTACCCCACTGCACCCTGCTGGGGAGATCCACAGCTTGATTCTCAGAAGACGTGTGTGCAGAGAACAAAGTCCATGCCTGCCACTTCAAAGGGGCTTAGAAGAACGTTCCCTTCCTCTGGCCTAGGAGCGTCAGGCCTTTTAAAAAGGCACCATGAGAAACTCAAAACCACTGAACGTGATAAAACTGTTGCTGGCTATCTCAACAACCAAGTACATGAAGTAAAATGGGCATACATGACAAAAGGAAGCCAACAGCCCACCAGGCTTTCACCACACAGTAGACAACTGTAGGCACACTTGCCTCTAATTATTTCCAGGTCTGGGGACAGGTGGGGCCTAGAATAAAAGCCCAGGGACCCACCTAGCTACACTCCCAGAAAGCAACCCAGAGCCCTGGGTATTTCTGGTTCCAAGAAGAGAGCAGCACAAGCACCTCTCACCACCTACCACCTTCCTCCTGCAGATGGCACCAGCTACCCCGCCCTCTTGTGCAACTCTGCCTATTAAAAGGGAAGCCAGCCTGCCAAGAATCACAGGCTGAGTGTGCTCGGCTTTGCTCGGTGTCAATGTAAGTGGTTTTGATGCAAGAGGCAAAGGAGTAATGAGAGTCACTTGGTTTGATCACAATTACACTCTGATTTGAAATGCAGTTCAGCAATTACGAGGTCCTCAGCCATAGAGCTCCCCTGGGATGGGGGCAGAGGGGGGCCCTTTAAAAGGAGAATTATACCCACCATACAAACAGAGGTTTCACTTTTTAGCTCCTTGTAGAAGACTTTTTTTCATGAAAAACCCCTTCTGGAGCTGAGGGAAAAGAATAAGCCTTATAGGAAAAGTAACTCCTGGACTTATTTTCAGGCCCTTGGTTTTTTCTCTTTGTGTCAGTTTCTTCTTTAAATACTGCGATATACTGACTCTGCAAAAGCTGTCTCCAACCTTTCTGGTACACTTCTATACAGATACATAGAAAAAAAGATTAAGTCAACAACAAAATATTAACAGCTGTTAAGTATGACTGGAAAAACCATGGGTGACTTGTGCCTTCTTTTTATGTACCAATACGTTAAAATAGTACATTAAGAATTTTACTGGTATCTTCTGTTCATCTGTTTTTGCTGCAATATGGCACTTTGCTTCCTAATTCATGAAGGAAAGGCCAGCTTTGAACTCCCTAAGGTCTGGACTCTCCTTGCTCTACAAAAGAGTAAACATTATTATTTGTGGGTTTCCAAAAGTGAGGGAGGAAACGACGGGCAGTGGATAAGTCCTCCTCCAATGTTTTGTCTTCAGTTTGTTGGCCCAATAAGGCAAATTAATTGTACCAGCATTTCCAAATAGGAGAGATGAAGGTATGTGCTTCAAGCACTGTATCAGGAAATGGCCCCACATAGGTTACTGGGCAAGGCAGGAATGAATGGGCTTATGGGGCCTCCCTTGGGAGAGCCTGACGCCTCTGCAACACAGGACTCTGATAGGGTAGAAATTTAATGTGGAGAAGGACAGGGAGGTACCACTGAGACAGGAGCACTCAGTGCTAGGGCCTGCAGAGCCTCCTGGTCACCCCCTCTTCCTCCTGAGTCTTATAAATTCCTCCTCTCAAGGGAAGAAGCCTTGAGGAACGCCTGATACTGGGCTTCTTGTCTATCTCAGCAAGCTATGCTTAAAGTTGATTTAACTTTAGAAAAATATTTTAACGTGTGATGTCTTACTCTCCAAGTATCAAGGAACAATTTGTTCCTGTTATTTTTTTTTTCATCTACAAGGAACATGTACTACTTGTGGAATAATAAATTAAGTTTTTGGAAGAAGGCAAGACATAAGCAATACAAAAAACTGACAGATAAATTGTGGGAGAGGGCCACTTCTTATACTCCTGCATGACCACCAGGTGTAGGATTCCAGATTCTCTTACAATGTGTTCAGAAGAAACCCCTTGACATTCTCTACAATGGACGGGTTCCAAGATCAACAAATTAATCAAATCAGTCCTGAATGGAATTTCTTGTCCTAAAGAGAAATCAGACAGGGTCTAAAAGAAATCAGGCAAGCCTAAATGCAAAGCAGGAGACAGAGCTGGCAGAAATGCAATACAATCACTTTTTCCTTTTCTTTCTTTTTTCTTTTTTTTTTTTTTTTTTTTTTTTTGAGACAGAGTTTGCTCTTGTTGCCCAGGCTGGAGTGCAATGGTGCAATCTTGGCTCACCGCAATCTCCGCCTACCGGGTTCAAGTGATTCTCCTGCCTCAGTCTCCTGAGTAGCTGGGATTACAGGCATGTACCACCACGTCCGGCTACTTTTGTATTTTTAGTAGAAAGGGGGTTTCTCCATGTTGGTCAGGCTGGTCTCGAACTCCCAACCTCAGGTGATCCACCTGCCTCGGCCTCCCAAAGTGCTGGGATTACAGGCGTGAGCCACCGCGCCTGGCCTTCCCTTCCATTTCT